TGCATGTAAAAAATCGGCAATCTTGATTCATATATTTATGTATTGGCGATTCAAGATTTTCAATATTTTCTAAGTGTTGATAGAATTACTCAATTTGTTCTGTTTTTTTAATTTAAATTTCATAATTAAGGCTGAATATTGATATCCAAGCCATTTCCATCATAAAATTTCGAATACCGAAACTACATCTTCTGGCAAAATTTGGAGGTGCAACTTGGTGGCACATGATACAAACCTCACCCATTGAATGAATGTTGTAGAGAACCACAATCTTCTACATCAATTCAATGAGCTCACTAAAACTCCAAATGACCCAACTCTTGGGATTTTGCTAAACAACAAACATATAACCACCATTATACTTTCACAAGCAAAACCGAAATCCCAAGTCCCATTTAACACCATGAGAATACAAAATCAATATAGTCACATAATATTTCTTAACACAAATTTGAGCTCATCACTTAAACCAATAAATCCTCATATCACAAAACCTAAAACATCTATAGAGAGAGAGAGAGAGGCACAACAAGATTTCAATATTTCTGGAATAATTGGAAAGATTGGAAAGGGAACTCAACGCTTCTTCGAGACACCGACAGTCTTTCCCCTACAACCGGTTGTCTTTGTGTGCTGGCTTCTGACTCTAAGACCCCAAAAGTGCCTGAACCCATAGTGGTTCTTGCACGATACAATATTAAAAAGCACTCAAGATTAAGAAAAAATGAGTCACATTTTGTAAGTCGTGATCATGATTGTCAACACGCAACTTCATAGAGGGAGACACAAACAGAGACTACAAGAGCTTTTGGTATTGGGACAGTCAAGGGGGGTTAAAAGCTTTTGATGGATTTGGTGAGTGAAAAAACAGGACTCAAGGTTTTTCACACACATAACACAATACTCAATAGCAATGTAGGAAAAATCGAACAAGAACAGCTAACCAGACATGGGGCCGGAAGTGGTTCAACAAATGAATGATAAAAAGTTAAAAAGAAAAAGACAAAAAATGACATGCTCACAATTTTCACTGTGAAGAGAATCATAAGGAACCAAAAATAACAAAAGACAGGACACTGAAGACCATTAAACAATATCTTCATTACACAATAAGTCCATTATGACTCAAGCATGAGGATGATAAAAATGATGGTCCATACATAATGTAGCACATGGTAAAAAAAGTTTACATGCATATGACTCCATCTAAATGAATGCTCCAGTTGTAGATGGTTACATTGAGATCACAAGACTCAAGTGAATCCCAGAGTTGTTTAGAATGGTAGGTCCATGTGCTGATACACATGTTCTTGAAAAGGTTAAGACCTATTACCATTCCAATATCATTAAAACTACAATTATTAGAGCTATTGAGCATTTTAAAAGTATTATCAATGGGAAAATATTATAATCCTATGGACCACAAAAAAACCATTGCACATTTGGTCATGCCTCCCAATGAAAACATTGACAATGATGGACATGCACTGAAAATTGGGCTCATGTCATATTTTGGTAGGTCCCACTCTCTCCATATATAATTAGTAACTTTAAAAATTCAACAACCTGATGAACTATGGGTTTTCTATAGGAAAGAAGGGGGGCGAAGGAGCATAAAAAGATAATTATCGACAATTAGTAGAACATGAGCTTATTAGAATTATCCAAGACACCTTGCAAATAGTAACAATTGCATGATCTCATCGACATGCGACTTGGTGCTAAATAAAATAAAATTACATCATGAATGCTTGGGCACATCATTTAAATACGCATCATCATCATCTGAGCTCTATCCCAACTAGTTTAGGATTAGCTACACGAATTATGTTCTACCATTATGCTCTATCAAAGACCATAGTATCAGTTAGAGCCTTCCACTTGAACCAAATCGTGGTCATTTAATTCAAAGCAAATCCAAAAATCTATATTCAAATAACTTTGCTTATTTCTCTAGAATATATTAAGTATTTAGCCATATGTCATTCATTTATCAGCCATTAAAAGAATTGAGCTATCACTTTGGCAAAAAATAGGGTTGGGGGTAACAAGTACAATGAATTCGAACATAAAAAAAAAAGGATCCATAAAACTATGTAGACTATCATCAATTATCATTGCATTTGAAATTCCAAATCCAGTATGATTTTGATTTACATCATAATCTATCTGATTAAAGAAACACTGAGAAAGTAGGAGTCAAATAAGCATTCCCATTTGCAGTACATAATTGGACCACCAAATGCCAAATCCCTCAAGTCAAAGATAATCACCTCAAACTCACCAAATGCCAAATGCCTTAAGTCAAAGATAATCACCTCAAACTCACCAAATGCCATAAATGATAAGGAGAGAAAGGGGGTTGAGAGAGAAGTTAATAAGAAGAGGAGAGAGGGGAGAAAGAAAGGGGTGCATCTCGGCAATAAATCCGCATTCACTCAGGTCAAGATTCCTCACATGTTTGAAAGGTCAAGATAAAGACGGTTGGAGACTATCGAACCTACAAATCCTTCGTATGTCAGAACAAAACAACTTAACAACAAATCCAGTATACAAAGAGTTTCCGGCATTGAATCAAGAAACACTATGCTTGTTGCTCTTCTATTCAACAGGGGGTCAAGCTCCTGCCTTGAATGGAGATTGATGGCTCGTTTTGGCCCAAGAAGGTGTCTTTCGTGGCTCAATAGTTTTGATGTGGGATGGAGAGTAGTGAAAGATGGGGCTCTGTAAGACAAGGAGAAAAGTCAAATAGTGAAGATTGAGATAGAGTGGGCAAGGGTGAGAATGAATGATAGAGAATAGGGGAGATGGAGGAAGACATGAGGAGTAGGATGTCAAAGGCAATATGAGTGATAGAGCTTGGCCATGCTAACACATTCTATTATGAGACAAAGATCATTATTGTAGGACAAAAATCAACGATCATTGCTCTTTTAGTCCACCTAGGGATGACTTGAATGGATTGAGAGAATAGTGCTGTAAAACTTGGGGATCTGAGATAGTTTATAAGAAGATTCCAGGCAATAGAACTTTGTTGATGCCAAGGGAGTTTTCAAGCCTGGAATTTGGAGGTTCAACAGTTCTTTAACATTATTGGGGCGGTGGTCTCCAAAATCAAGGCATTCATATTAACCCCTCAGCTATGTTGGCTAGGGATTGAACGCATTCCAATCCATGCTTTAGAAGTTTTTAGAATAATTGTTACTGAATGTTGAAAATTATTGTAAATGGATTAGAAAACATTGGGCGGCTATTATCTGGGGCTATTAAAGATAAATATTCAAAAGTTTACTGCAAAAGAGATAGCCAAAGACAGTCCTAAAAGGTGACACGTGGCTTATTTCAAATCCAAGTAAGGAGACTAGAAGAAAGAAGCTAAAGGTGTTTCAGAAACAAAGATATGGAAGGAATGGACGGTGTCCTAGAAGAACAGGGCTAGCTAAAGGTTTTTATAAAAAGAAGTAGAATTTCTAGCATGGGAGCAATGTTGAAGAGGGTACTTAGTGTCATCATTGTTGATCCCCGCTCAGCTTTTTTAAATGTCATCATAATATCAACATTATTTTGATGCCCTAATAAACCATTTGCATGGAAAGCAGGACTTGTCATTTTATTAATTTCTACATTGATAACCAAATCTTTTATTTTATTTATTAATTTTTACATTATAAATCATGTAATGTACTATTTTTCTTACAATTGTCAATAATACATTTTAAATTAGATAATATTATAAAATATTTTGAATTTGTTATTATTTGTATAATAAAATAACTATAAAATGTAAACTAAGAATTTTAATTTTAGTATATAATATTATAATTAGTTAGGTTGTAATAATTTTGGATTATAGTTAGTTATGTTGTAATAATTTGGGTTTTTTTAGCGGTTTAAGGTCTTTCGCCAATTCGAGATTTTAGTAGCCATTCTTTCATTGATTTTGTATACTCTTTATTATAGTCTATGTATAATTATATATTTTATCCATGGTAATTCTGTGATTTTTATTCTATGTCATGTAAATTTAATGGTTAACATAAGTTTATATAGGGAAAGTGCATCTCAATATTCACAAATTGATAAAAAAATGAAAGTTAATAATTTAGTACCCTCATTTCTTATTGGATTCATAAAAGAGAACATTTATAATGAATTTTAATAATTTTTTGGATTTTTTTTAAAGTTTAATCCTACCGATTCCCGATCCGAATTGCCAATTCACCGATGCGGATGGATTTTTGGAGGGCCCGATCTGAGGCATCGATCCATCGATCCATTTTTTAAACCACTAGTTTAACTAATAATAAAAAATAATAAAAAAAGGCATAAACCCCCTACTTAAATTTATAATTCCAAATAACCCTTTAACTCAAAACCTATCCAATGGAACTCCAAGTTAAGCAAAAAGCAAAAACCTTCCCTCACTACTTCCCTCAATACTTCACTCTCTTTCTAGCGACCTTCCCTCGATACATATAAAAGAAAATTTATTTTTTATGATATCTAAATGGTTTTTTATGTTTTTTTTATTCTTGATTTTTCTCATACTAAACATTAATAAATTTTTCCCTAATTTTTACCAAATTTTAGGATTTTTTTCATATTTCTGGGCTTTGTAGCCGGCTATTTATTAAGCTTGGGATGGTGTATGCCTGGGGGCTTAGTTTTTAGTCAGCTCCTATTAGCTCGGCTCAGCTAATATTGGCTTATATCTGTTAAATTTGGCTCAGCTCAGCTAAATTCGGCTCAGCTCGGCTATATTCGGCTCATCTCGGCTAAATTTTGATTCGGATTGCCTTGTTATAAGAGGAAATAAAAAAAGACAAGCCGAGCCGAGCATGTATAAGTCGAGCCGAGTTGATATGAGCCGAGCTGAGCTGACATAAAACGAGCAAAACCTATACAAGCCGAGCCGCACCGACCTAGCTACATCATTACCATTTTGATATTTAAATATAAAATTTGAAACTCCAAAAACAGTTATAATCATATGTCGAGATGTTTTTGAGGCATAAACTTTTACCTTTAAATTTTGTGGTAGAATGGATTGTTGGTTCAGCTCGATGAAGCACTCCATTGAAGGGCTCCATTCTCCCTCTGTAGTCTATTATACCTAGGCACATCCTCTTCTATCTCTCAAAACCCTAAACCAGATAGCGCATCGTGACTATCTCTTTTCCCCTGCTAAACCCTAACCCCTCTCTCTCTCTCTCTCCAATAAAAACCATTCTACCTCTCAACTTCGCACATCCTCAAGCACGTCTCAAAACCCTCACTATCTCTCTTCTCTGGTAAGCCTAACCCCTCTCTTTCTCTCTCTCTCTGTCGTGGTGGCGAAGCGGCACACGAGGGATAG